AATATTACACTAAAATAAATTGGACTCTTTCACTTTTAAGGGATTTTTAGTAACACTTGGAAGATGTCTGGTGCATCAAGTAATGCATTATGCATTACTTCTAAATGTTGGCATATGGCATTATTAAAAAATTCACGTGTTAATGTCAGCATCTATCTCAATTGAAGAGAAGCTGGTGGCAGGAAAGTGTTCTCCATAATCCTAATATCTGCATAGTAATTTACATTTTGTCATGGCAGTGGTCAGTTGTTTATTTGAAGCAACAGGTAGTTTGAGAACATGTCTGCCAAATAACTATGTTTAAATAGCCATCACCTGTCTGCTACTCTTTCTTCAACAAAAATGGTCTGTGAATAAAGTGGGTAGGCCAACTCACAGCTCAATCCTACATCATGTTTGGGTCTACAGCAAAGCACATTAAATATCCCTCCCAATTTGTGACATGGGCTACTAAAATGATGTGTACTCTAGGATCAAGACTAACTAAAATGAATGATTTCTACCTGTTTTATTACATTCTTAAGATTCTAAGTATTCCTTTTGATTTCAATGATAATCCAATGGATTTGTAATTTTAAGTCTAATTTCATAAATTAATTTAGCTTTCCTTATTTCTTTTTGTTATTGACTTGTAGCTTCCTTCTGTTATGGTCAGATTAGAGGCTTTCACATTTAACTTTTAAAACCTTACTGAAATTTACTTTGTGTCTAAAAATAGTCCGAACCAAACATATGTGCAATGAAGTAGTGTGTGTACTGTGCTACTGTTCAGTGGTGTGCTCTAAGTCTGTTAAGTCCAAATGATTAATGTTATGCAGGTTTTATGTTTCTTTATTCCTTTTTAAAATGGTTCCATCCACCAAAAGGTGGTGCATATAATGTCCTTCTGTGTCTCATAATAAATTTTCACTTAAACTTATTGTCATATATTAACATTGCCACTCCTGTTTGCTTTGTATTACTGCTTACTTGCGATGTCAAGTATCTCCACCCCCACTTTAATCTATTTATGCACCTGTGCTTAAAGTGTGCCCTTGTCATCTAGACGTGCCGTATTTGTAGTCCAGTCTACTACTGTTTCTTGACTAGCATATCATTCATTTGTATTCATTGCAATTAATTATCAATAGAGAAGAATTTACTTCAAACATTTTGTTAAATATTCCCCACACCCCCTCTCCTGGTGAGATTGATGGCTTCTTTGTTCTCTACCTTCAAAGCTGTTATTTTTAGGACTATATTTTTCCCTTTGTTATTATTTGATAACTTTTATTGCCAAATAACTTAAATTCCCTTTAATATCTTAAAGTTCTCTTATTTATACCAATCTTCTCCATTTTATTTTTATGTTATTGGCAATTACAATTGTACAACCCAGATCCCCCATCTCATTGTAAATTTATTATATGATTCTGGGCTTTAGCGCCATCTTGTTAGAAACCTCCAAACCATGAGAGCCAAGTGGAGGAAGAAGAGAATGCGCAGAATGAAGCGCAAGAGAAGAAAGATGAGGCAGAGGTTCAAGTAAAGCAACCGGGTACCCCTCAGAAGCCACAGCTGCAGGAATATGGAGTGCCTGAGGCCAGGACGCTGCTACAAGCTGGTGCTACCCACCATCTTTGCATCTTGATCAACCTAACCAGTCTGGCTTTGATCCTTTGCCCAGACCGAAGACATTCTGGACTAGTCTTAGCTGAATAAAAAAATTATTATATGTATTCAGGTGGTTGTTTAGTGTCAACACTGCTTTTTTTCTGGGTCTTGCAAGATTGCTGCCTTTGTCAGAGTGCAGTGTTAGCACATCACTGTCTACTTGAGGAAAGTGTGTAAGTGTTTCTTCTCTGATGCGTTTCTGTCTTACACAGGTCCAGCTTTCAGTTTGCACCTTATAAAGAATATGAAGGAACTTACTACAGCGGTTGTTTCTGGTGAGGACAACTGAGAGATGGAATGAGACCGTGTTTGAACGTTCCGTATGTGCATTTATCTGTACGATGTAATTTAAAAAATTCAAGAACTGAAAAAAAAAATTTAAGAACTGAAGGGAGTCAGATCTATCGTCTTAGGAGGATTTCCACATCTTATTCTTAGCGATCAAAGTAAATTGTAGAAGAAATGATCTATTCATCCTATTTTTAAAAGAAATAAAAAATTCCTCTTTCATACCCACTCTCCCCCCATTCCAAACTGAATTTCGGGTATGTTTTTGTAGGGAATTGGCTTAGCACGGAGAAAGCCAAGAGAAAAACACAGAGAACTCAAGACGTGTCAGCGAGGCGCCGCCCCGTGCCCTCCCGCCCTCATTTCTCAGGCCTCGCCTCTCAGCCCCACCCCCACCCGCCCTTCGGCACAAGCCTCGATTTCCAGGCCTGGGCTGACCCTATCCCTCTGGGATGGAAACGAGATAGTTTCCTGCCGAGACTGGATAAAAAGGGGCCGTCGCCGCTGGACTTTTCTGCCGCCCTGGCGGTTCAGAGCCCTCCGGGCCCCGAGCGCTGTGACCGGTCACTTCCGCTCCCGGCGGTGCGAACCGGAAACGGAAGTGCACGACAGGAGAGGGCGGAGGTGGCGAGGGGGCTACGCGGGGCCGCCGCGGGACTGCTTCCGGTCCGCGTGCAGGTGTGGGCCGGGCCCGCGGGCGGGCGAGGCGGGGCCAGAGGGCGGCCGACTAGCGTCTTCCCCACGGTTGTCACTGGCCGGGGTGGGGCTCGCACCGCTCGGACCCCGCGGCCGAGACGACCCCGCGCTATCCCTCGCCCTCAGGTACCTCCTCCCTGCCGGGACTGTCATCCTTTCGATAGGGAAGTCGCGGGAATACAGTCCAGGTCTGTCGCATCCATTAGGAGGGTAACACGAATGGGCCCCCCATAACTCACCTGGGGCTAATCCTAAGTGTGGAAGGGAGGAAACGGCCGCATAAGGCCGTCAAGGTCTGCTTTCCTGATCACTCGGGGCTCCCCAAGACGCTTAAAGTGTCTTCGAACTTCTGGCCCTGGGAACACTTAGCCCAATCCTCTCAGGCCCTCTTCAACTCTGGTATGGATAGGGAAACTGCAGCCAGAGGACCCTCCCTCCCCTCCCTCCCTTATGCAACATAACCTTTTATTCGTACATCCACATTTTTATTGTGAGATTTAGTATTATCCGCTGTTATAAATGGAAAGTTAGGTCTGGGTCTGTGGTCAAATGGCTTGAGTGGCTTGTGGGGAGTGGGAGGGGGTAAAAGCACTGTCAAGGGATGAATTTGTGATAGGCATTTTTGGGGACAGAGAATTTGAACACCCTTAGCAGCTCTGGGTGGGAGAAAGATGGGGCTTTCTACTCCCATAATGAGTTATAGTCTCGGAAACCCACAGGGGCAGGTCTCCCTTGTCCTATGGGGTTGTTATGAGTCGTCATAGACTTGACATTGAACTGTGAATCACAAGGTCTGCCGTTCAACTCCCCACTCCCCCTGCTCAGTGGGAGGAAGATGAAGCTTTCTGTAAAGATTTGCAGCCCAGGAAACCCTCAGGAGCAATTCTACTCCGTTAGAGTTCCCATGAACCAGAATGAAGTTGATTTCAGTGAGTTGGGTTTGAGCTAACTTTAGTTACAGGAACTTTGGTGATGTAATAAGTTCAATGTTGGCCTAACCAAAGGTCAGTGGTTTAAAGTCATGAGCTACTCTGTGGGAGAAAAATAAGGTTCCCTCTCTCGTCCCCCACCTCCACCTATACAACCTCATCAACTCTATGTAAGGGTTTTTCTGAGTCAGAATAGACTCCAGGCTATGTTATTATTTTTTGTTCTTTAGTTTAGGCTACTTTCCCTTTGTAGTTGCACCAGGTACCATATGACCCACAATCCTGATAAGCTTCCTTTCTGGCTCTTTAAAAAAAAAAGGCTGATCCCTGATCTGTAAAGCACTTTACATGTGTCACACACTGCGCTGGGGCTGGGAATGAAGTCCTGGAAAACTGAACACAGGTCTGGATGAGAGAGGAGAGAGGTTAAAAACACCTAGATGAATAGATAAAAGGATGAGGATGGAAGGGGATGATGGCAGGTCTTAGCGATATGAGAAAATGTAAGAGGAGCAAGAGACTTTTAATTTTTATTGAGAGGAACCAGTGGGAATTAGCAGGGGCGAAGGTTTGAAAAAGAGGCCTGGTGGCGTAGTGGGTTACGCATTGCTAGCCCAAAGGTCGGCAGTTGAAACCACTAGTTGCTCCCTGAGCGAGAGATGAGGCTTTCTCGCCCTGTGAAAACAGTCTCTGACGCTCTGGTGGTGTAGTGGTTATGTGTGGGCTGCTTACCCCAAGGCCACCAGTTGGAAACCATCAGCTGCTCCTCACGAGAAAGATGAGGCTTTCTACTCCCATGAAGAGTTCCAGTCTCGGAAGCCCATGGGGCGGTTTTGTCGTCTGGTGGGGTTGCTGTCAGTTGGAACAAACTCTATCTACAGCAGCGAGTTTTGTTTTGTTTCTTTTGAAACCCAAAGGGGCAGTTTTCCTCTGTTCGGTAGGATGGATCTAGTGCGTTGGAATTGATTCGATGGCAGTGGGTTTGGTTTTTGGTTAAAGTCTGAAAAGGAGCTGTGGTAGTTAAGTACTCTACTGAAAGGTCAGCGGTTTGAATCCACTAGGCACTCCTTGGGAGAAAGGTATGGCAGGTGGCTTCCATGAAGGTTCAGAACACATTATTTTTGAGTTGGTTTTGACTCAGGAACCTTCTAGAACAGACTACTACCTCATAGTGTTTATAAAGGGTATAACCTTGGAAACCCCATGAGGCAGCTCTGTGCTGTCCTATAATATCGCTGAGTCAGAATTGACTCAATAGTAATAGGCTTTCCTCCCCAAACTGCAACCAAAGCAAAGGCCAGGAAGGCTACACCGAAAGGCCACACACAAACGTGAAAATCTGCATGTCATCCATCGCCCGGCAGCCCAAGACACTGAGGCTAAGAAGGCAGCCCAAATACCTTTGGAAGAACACCCTGAGGAGAACTAGGCTCGACCACTGTGTCGTTATCAAGTTCCTCCTGACCACTGAGGCAACATGACGAAGACTGACAGTAACACCCGTGTTCATTGTGGATGTCAAGGCCAATAAGCATCAGATCAAACAGGCTGTGAAGCAACTCCGTGACACTGACATAGCCATGGTCAACACCTTGGGTAGGCCTGATAGGGAGAAGAAGGCACATATTCACCTGGCTCCTGAATATGATGCTTTAGACCAGTGGTTCTCAAACTGTGGGTCGCGACCCCTTTAGGGTCCAAACGACCTGTTCACAGGGGTTGCCTGATTCATAACAGTAGTAACATTACAGTTATGAAGTAGCAACAAAAATAATTTATGGTTGGGGGGGTCACCTCAACACGAGGTGTTGCACATGAAGGGTTGCGACATTGGGAAGGTTGAGAACCACTGCTTTAGACATTGCCAAACAAAATTGGAATCATCTAAACTCCATCTGGCTAATGCCCAATATAAACTTTTCCAATACAAAGAAAAAAACGGCCATGGGATTTTACATTGGTCAGAAATAAGGGAGACACAGCTTTGATTCTTGGCCAGTGTACTTCATGGGCAACCACCGCCCATTTGTCGGCGGGCGCTTGCTTGTGGCTATGATGCTGAACAGGTCTCAGCAGAGCTTCCAGCCTAAGATGGACTAGAAAGAAAGGCCTGGAGAATCTACTTCCAAGAATCAGCCAGTGCAAGCTCTGTGGATCGGAGTGGCTCATTCTGTAACAGAGCATGGGGATGGTGCCGCACCACACAGTGCATTTTGTTTTACTGTGTATAAGATCACTGTGAGTTAGGGGCATACTCAGTGGTGGATAACAATATAGATTTTTAGCCGGTCTGCCTTTGCTTCCAGTCTTGTCCTTGTTTTACCATTGTCTCTCTTCTGTTGCAGGAGGTCACCTGCCGAGACCTCTCAGCCCGGGTGTGTGTCATGGTGAGTGCGTTGGGAGGCTCTGGATGGTTGGGAATAATGAGGTACTCTGAACTGTGCCCTCTTCTCTGTCTGTGTCCCCAACAGAAGAAAAAAGGGGAAGGGGAATATGGAGTTTCCTCAGGCCTGCCCCAGAATATCTTTTAGAAGGGCCTGGAAGGAGCAGGAATGGTGCCCTGAAGGCAGATCCTAGGCTTTGTATTTAATTCTGGCATCTGTATTCAGATAGGCTGCGACAGAGCTCCTCTGGAGAAAACCCCTAGCCATCTTTTGTGACATCTATTGAAAACCACACATGGCTGTATTAATTTCATGAGAAAAAAAATCATCTTATAGGACTATCAGGACATTATCACCCCTCCCTCCTCCAAATAAATAGTCATTTTTTGGTATCCTCTGATACTCAATTCGTGATCATACTGCCTCAGTTGTCAGAAAAATACATTGCATAGTTTTAATTAATGACCCAAACAAGTTTTCCACATTTGGATTTACAAAAGCAACCACTTTAAAGGGTTAGTTAATAAGCTACTTATGTTTCTATCATTGTAGAGAAGTTCTCATCCCATCTCTCCTTTTCCACATATTCCTCAGAGGCAAGACACGTGAGATTTCTTAACCTGTACTTTGGACATGTTGTTAGGAGAGACCAGTCCCTGGAGGAGGACATCAGGCTTGGTAAAATAGAGGGGCAGCGAAAAAGAGGAAGGCCCTCAATAAGATACAGTGGCTGCGACAATGGGCTCAAGCAAAGGAACGGTTGTGAGGATGGCGCAGGACTGGGCCGTGTTTTGTTCTGTTGTACGTAAGGCCTTTATGGGTCGGAGCCCACTTGATGGCACCTAACAACAGCAGCAGCAGCTGCAACAGCAACAACAATAACAACAACTTAGCAACAGCAATAACAACAGCTTATTGCTGAGCATGTTTTGGATAAGATGCCCCCTGCCAAATATGTATTAAAATCCCTAAAATCCACTGCCACTGAGTCCATTCTGACTCATAGTGACCCTATATAGGGTTTCCTAGACTGTAAATCTTTATGGGAACAGTCAGCTTCACCATTGTGACAAAGAGCAGCTAGTAGGTTTGAACTACTGATCTTTTGGTTAGTAGCCCAACACCTAACCCTTAGAGCCACAAGACCTTATGTGTTAGAATGCTAATCTCTACTTGTGGGTACAGTGACTCTGTATTCATCTTTTGTTGCTTTTTGTATTGTACAATATTTTGCCCAAAGAATCCTTCAATATTGTAACTACAGGCCTGAACTTTTTCTTTAGTTCCTTCAACTTGAGAAATGCTAATTGTGTTCTTCCCTTTTGATTTGTAACTCCCAAGTTTTTGCACCTTTCATTATAATACTTTATTTTGTTTTCTCAAGCCTCCTTTTTTGAAATTTTCTGTTCAACTATTTTACGTCATCATTTCTCCTTCTATTAACTTTCCAAAAATGAAAACAAATTCACTGCCATTGATTTGATGCTGGCTCATCAAATAGGACAGGCCAGAACTGCCCTTTAGGTTTCCAAGACTAACTCTTTATCGGAGTAGAAAGCCTCATCTTTCTCCCAAGTTGTCATTTGGTGGTTTTGAACTTATGATCTTGTGGTTAGCAGCCCAATGTGTAGCCACTTCACCACCAGGCTCCTATTACCAGCCCCCCACTATTAAGCACCTGTGAAAGCTGGACACTGAGTTCCCTGGCCCCCTGGCAGATGAGCTGAAGGGGCAATGGCTTCCATGATCTCGCCCCTCCTATCTACCAGCAAACTCTGCCAGCTTTGCATGCAAGATATCGCCTACCAATGACAGTCCTCCCTGTCCCTGATGCGCCCAGTGTGTCCAGGATCCCTGTTCAGCTCTTTCTTGCACTGCAAGGAATGCCTTGCCCAATTCTTGCTTTTACTCAATGCCAAAGGATCCCTGAGAAATTCAAGTCAGGTGTAACCCTTAGAGCAGTAGTTCTCAACCTTCCTAATGCCGCGACCCTTTAATACAGTTCCTCATGGTGTGGTGACCCTCCCCCCAACCATAAAATTATTTTTGTTGCTACTTCATAACTGTAATTTTGCTACTGTTATGAATTGGGCAACCCCTATGAAAGGGTCGTTCGACCCCCAAAGGGGTCGTGACCCACAGGTTGAGAACCGCTGCCTTAGAGAAAGCAGTGCTGTTCTAGGGAAATTCAAGTTACTCTCTGGACGTAGCGTAGTGCTTCCTTCTGGGAACTACTCAACCAACCTCACTCCCTCCATTCCCGTAACTTTTCCTGCTGCCTGGCAGCTGGCCTAACTGTTCATCCCTGCAGCTTTACTCCAGCGTTTTCTCCACGGTGGCTCCCCTGCTGCTGGCAGCCACTTTATCCTGGACACTCCCCATCTCATTTTGGAACTAAGATTCTATCACAGTGATTTGTTTAATATAGTCAAGCAGTAGGTAAGTCTCATCACGGTAAATGGGATGCCCCTTTTATGGGTACATTCCCCAGAGCAGAGTCATTGTGCAAATTCAATGAGGGTATATGGGTGTGAGCGGAATCCCATAGCTTTATGGCTCTAATCAGAACCTCCGTCACTCTGTCTAGGTTCCAAAGGTGCCCGTGCTGACCCAGAGGTGGGCAGTGCCTGTGCTGGACCTCTCCAACCCAGGGTTGTCCAGTTCCGCTGGTGAGTGAGTGCTCTTGATTGTGGGCCGCCGTCTTCCTGTTATGCACCAAACACACTCTCCCCTTCCATTTACCCTGATTGTAGGCATTGTGTGGCATCATCAGGTGATACATATAAAGACATCTCTTGTTACTTATGTATATGGGGGTACCTCTGTGTCCTGGTACTGCTGCTATTACAGATACATCACAAGTGGGTGACTTTAAGAAACAAATTTTCTCACAGTTCCGGAGGTTAGAAGTCTGGATTCAGGGTGCTGTCGACTGATGGGGGAGATCCTTGTCTGAGCTTCTCAGGGGTTCCCAGTGACCCCTGCAGAGCTCCACGTGGCCCCTTGCTCGCTCCTGTACAGATTGCAGCAGTGGAAACCTGGCTGTATTAGGGTCATTTTTAGGTTTTTAACTCCAGGTCTTCATACATTTCATCTTAATACTTTGTCTTCTCGAGCTGCTCTTTGAAATATTTTGTTCAGCTCGTACTCAATCATTTCTTCCATTTGCTTTAGCTTCTCTGTGAGCAAGAGCTAGTTTCAGCGTCACCTCTGACATCCATTTTGTTATTTTCTTTCTCTCTTGTCTTTTTAAACCCTTGGTTTTCTTTCTATCATGTTCTCGATGTTTTCTTACAACTCATCTTTCTTTTTTGTGCTCAATGCATTAAATCGGTTCTTGTGATGTCTTCTAAATTCAGGTAGGATATACTCAAGGTCGTATTTTCACTCTTGTGGACTGTTTAAATTTCTCAGCTTCCACCGGATGTTTATATGAACCATTGAGGGATGTTGCACAGTTGGCCCCTAGCCTTGTTTTGGCTACTGGTGTTGACTCCTCTATGGTTTCCCCTCACAGACGTAGTCAGTTTATTTCTGTGTGTTCTGTTAGGTAACACCCACATGTATAGTTAGTATTTATGTTCTTGAAAAGACATCAGACCGTGTAGGACATGAAAAAATAATAGTAATTTATAAAATCAAGGGTTCGTGAGAGAGGGAGGGTGGGGGAAGGAGGGTAAAAAATGAGCTGATACCAAGGCCTGTTTTGAGAATGATGATGGCAACAAATGTACAAATGTGCTTGACACAAATGGATGGATGTATGGATTGTGATCAGAGTTGTACGAGCCCCCAATAAAATGATTAAAAAAAAGTGTTTGCAATGTAGATGTAGTTAGTCTTACAAAATTCTATCATGTTATCTGCAATGTCATTTCTATTACCAAGGCCAAAATTTCCAACTACTGATTCTTCCTCTTTGTTTCCAACTTTCACATGCCAGTTACCGGTAATTATTTATGCATCTTGATTGCATATTTGATCCATTCCAGATGCAGATGTTGGTAGAATTATTCATCAGTGGATTTAGCGGGTGAGTGCTTTTAGTGGTTGGTACAGACATTGGAGTACAGGATAGTTGTCTTAACTGATTTTCCTTGTAGGCATATAGATACTATCCTATCACAGACATCAATATACTTCAAAATGGAGCTTGAAATGATTTTTGATGATGTACAGGGATTAGAATTTATACCATACATTTTTGGGGGGGACCTTATTCTATCCATAACAGAAGATGTAATGTAGGAATTAGTCACTGTGGTAATAGGGAGCAAGGAGAAGGGGTAGAGGTGAATACTAAGTATAGAGATGTCATCAGTGATTTAAAAAAATTGTTGGTGTGTACAGGATTGCTTAAGGTGAGATTTCTGATCTGATCAGCCGTATGCAGGGTTGTAACTTCCTGAGATTGGGGACAGCTTGGTAAGAGCAGACTTTGGGAAGAAGGTAGTAAACTTAATGGGACTAAATGCCATAAAGTTTCCTCAGATAGGCAAGTGGAGATATTTGAGCTGATAGTGGTATATTAATTTTTTAGGGCTGCTGTAACAAAGCACCTCAAGCACCTTAAAATGACAGAAATTAAAATACAGAAACAAAACCCTCTAGAAATGTATCCTTTCATAGTTCTTGAAGCCAGGATTTCAACATGAAGTGTCAGTAGAATGAGTTACTTATCGGAGTTCTGAGAGAATATTTATACCATACCTCTCTCCTAGCTTCTGGTGATCGCTGGCCATCCTTAGTTCCTGGACTTGTAGATCTTTCACTCCACTCTGACCATCTTGTCTCTGTATTTCCCCGTGTGTCTCTTCTCTGTTTTAAAGATATCAGTAATATAGGATTTAGGTTCACTGTACTGTAGAATGACCTCATACTAACTGATAACATTTTCGAAGACCTTCTCTCCAAACAAGGCCACCTACACAAGTGCAAGGGGTTAGACCTTGCACATATCTTTTTTAGAGGGCACATATCAACCCTTAACTGTTGGACATATGGGTCTGGAGTTGAGAAGTGAGAGTCAGCCTGGAAATTATGACCTTGTCAAGTTAGAATTGAGACTCGATGCTTGAGGTCGTGTGAGGTTGCCTGACAGTGCTTACAGTAAAGGGAGAAGAAAGGGAAAGGTCTGCATGGCGAGGTTGCCAACAGCTGATGATGGACTTGACCAAGGAGGATGGCTTGGGATGCGGTCACTGACACCAAGGTACAAGAGGAGGTGTTGTATGACCGGTCACATGAACTGGAGTCTGCACAATGGAAGGGCTCTCTGGTGGTTCTGTTGAGGTGTTGACCTTCAGGAGGTAAGAAGTGAGTCGGTCGTGATGGGATGGACACAGAGGAACACAAAGATAGAACAGCAGCTAGAAGGAGAGATGGGATCAGGGCTTAACTGTGCTCAGGTTTAAATGCCAAGGGAAGAGGTCTGATCAAGAGGGAAAAGTGAAGGTAAGGAGGCCAAGATGGTCAGAGAGTTGCTGGTAAGCCTGCAGTAGGAGAGAGGGAGGATCCCTGATGCTAGTGATTTGAAGGCAGGCAGTAAAGACCCTCTCTCACAATGATCGCTAGTGGTTTATCAGTTCCCTGCTTGGGGTAAGACAGCGGGTCAATACTAGCCCTGCAGAGGAGGACAGAGGAATGGCTGAGTACTCAGATAGGACAAACTGTCCAAGAAACTAAGTCAAAGAAAGGAGATTGTAAAGCCTCAGGATCTCCAGAGTCTGTTAGTAAATTGAGACAATGGCTCCTGTGATTTGTAGTGTGTGTGTGTTCCTTATCTGTAAATTTTGTATAGTACTCTAACCCTCCTGACAAATGTGTGGGTGTGCGTGTGTATAAGTGTGTCTTTGTGTGTATATGTGACTGTGTATGCATGTTGTGTGTGTACCTGTGCGTTTGTAGGTGAATACATGTGTGGATATATATATATACACACACCTGTGTGTGTATGTCTGTGCATGCATGTGTGTATCTTTGTATATGTTCTATGTGTGCTGTGTTTGTACATGTATCTGTGTTTCTTTTGTGTGTGTCTGTATACATACATATAGTTGCTTACATAGCAGGGCAGCTTTCAGGCCATGTGTATGTGCATTGGGCTAGGCATGGGCTCTCACAGCTCCTCCCTTCTTCAGTTCTACCTGCTCAGGACCCAGCCTGGTTCCAGGAGGAGAGCAGAGAAGAAGTAGTGATGGCTACTGGGTTGCTGACCACCTGCTCACAGGTAAGTAAGAAATCTTTTTTGCACCAAAGGATATTGGTATGCCCAAGACTAGTGTCTAGGCTTCTGGGTGTTGGGTTTCTTGTAGGCGGTGTGGGGAAGGCCAGAGAATGTTCACACTCCCTCATTCAGACCCTTCCCAGATGGTTGAGCACTGTGTTCTGCTGATTGTTGGGTGGGGAAATAAAATCGGGATGTGAGCTGTCTGTGTTTCAAAGTCTTCCTGAGCAAACACGTCTCTCACTTACCAAATATTTCTTCTGCTTTAGCATAGTCAGGTCTGCTAGATCCTAGAGCTAGAGGAATACGACTGCAAGGGATTTGTGGCTAGTTGTAGATGGACAAGTTTTTTCATGAAGCAGAGGTCTTTAGAAGTCACATCATTACTCAGACAGTGACAGATAGCAAAGAGCTTTGGTTCTGAGGTTGCGCCAAGGGGTAGGTTCTGGAGCACCACAGAGCTCAGTCTGAACATCCTCTGCATGGTGTCTCCCTTCTTCAGGCTACTGCCCTCTGCGACTGCTGGTGGTATTGATTTGTGATTGAGCTGGGATGGGTGTGATGTTTTAGGAACCGGTAACTTTGGAGGATGTGACTGTGGTGTTTACCCAAGAAGAATGGGTTTTTCTGGACTCTGCCCAGAGAAGTCTGTACAGAGAAGTGATGCTGGAGAACCTCAGGAACATGGCCACAGTGGGTAAGACTGGCCCTATTGCCTCATCTGTACACACATGAGTTCTTGGAACTGTGCTAGTTTGGGAAATAGGGGAAAGAGACATCTTTTGAACATCTTGCCCTTGCAAGCTTACGAGCCTGTGGTTTCATCCATTAACTGATCTGTTTCTTCATGGTTAAATGCTTCCTGGCTTCTCAAGTATGTCCCTGAGGTTGGCCCTGTGTTTCTGGGATTGGAGAGCCTCATCATTCTCTGGGACTCAGTGAGGGAGCTTTTTCAAGAATTTTGACTGTATAGTGGGCGAGTTTTACAGAGTTCCTGTGAGTTCAGGCATATTTATTTTGCTACTGTCATCCTCAGAACGCCTAGAAACTTTAGCCCTAGTTTTATGCAAGGGCACAGACTTCTCACACAGATGTCTCATCCCATGAGCAGGCTCCCAACTCTGCCAACCCAGTTTATTTTCCTCTTGGGGACAAAGAGAAGAGCTGTGGATCACTGAGAAAAGACTCTTTCAAGAAATGTGCCCAGTTAAGCACCAGGCAGGTAAGAATTATAATAGAGAGATGATCTGGTTGCTAGAGGGGAACATGTGGAAATTGTTAATCCAAAAAACATTCCAATGCCTTTGACTGAGAAAACTGGATTGTTTGGTGTGAGTTCCCCTAGAGAATTCTGATATCTTTTTTCTTTCATTAATAGGTAGACAGGTCTATTCCTGGTTCCATGTATGTGTTTTATCTACTTCTCTCCAGTGTAAATTTGTGTTACTGTCCTCTCTCGGTTTCATTTCTAATCATTGTGGAATTCTTGAATGCATTTGAAATTTCTTTCCATAATTAGGGTATTTGAAAACAACAATAACAAAAAAGCCACACATGCATTGTTTAAATTTTTTGGTTACCTAGATCCTACAGTTCCCTTCTCTGTGTTCCTAAATTTTTCATCATAATTTGTTTTAGAACCTCAGCTTCAAAGTCAAGAGTCAGTTCTTAACCAAGATATTGTTTTGGAGATTCCATATACTGGCACAAAAAGGGTAAGGTTCACAGGAATTATTTTTTATTATATTGTTATAGGGGAAATCTGAGACTGCTGTCAGAAAAGTAACACAAGAACACTTAAAGCAATAGAACAGGGTTTCTTGGGACCGTGTCTGTGACTATGTGGTAAGTTTGAGGATTTGGGGACTGATCAAAGAACAGACATGAGAAGCAGTGGCACACATACTTTTTATTGGCTGACATTGGATAAGGTTTCATGACAGGAAATTCCTTCTAGCAAGACACCTAGACACAGTGATGTATGGAGACTTCCCAGATCACCTATAAGGGGATGAGAATAAGAGAACTTCTGGTGGAGAGGAACTTATGTGTTTAGCTGACATCCCTTACTATCAAGGTGATGAGTATCTGGGTCAGAGAGCTCGCAGGGCTGCAGCAGTTTTAAGGTCTTTTATAACAACAGTGTTAGCTTCATATATGGTTAGCAGATGTTGGGAGCAATTTGTCAGGGTCTGTCAAGTGGGTAAGAAGCGCTGTGGTACATTGGCTAAGCACTGATGGCTCACTAAAAGGTTGGTGGTTTGAACTCACTAACTGCTCTTTGGGCGAAAGGGTATTTTGCTTCCATAAAACATTACTACTTTGAAAATTCTGTGGGGCCAGTTTAACTCTGTCTTATATGGCCTCTCTGAGCCCAAATTAGTTGGAAGCAATGTTTGTTTTTATGTCACGTAGGTAGACTTGAAATGGCTAAAATTATGATTATTTGAGTTATATTTAAGACAATTGAATGTGTAAAATTTTTGAGTTTGGCATCAGTGGTTTTTGGGTAATGGTTCTAACCTGTTGTAAATAAAAACGTGGAGATTGTGGTAGACTAATACACAGGGACCATCTCTGGTCTATTTACATATTAGAACAGCATGGGTTGGGGGAAACTAATAGACTAGATCAAGAGTTCTGTACTCACAGAGCTTCTTCAAGTCATCATTTTCATAAATGTTCCTCATGAAGAATTCACATGGGGGAGAATATAAACGCAATAAAGCCTTTATTCTTCACAGTTATCTTTTTTAATCTACAGGAACAACCTCAACCTGGAAGAAAACTCTGTAAATGTAATGAATTTGAGAAACCCTTTAACAGTTTCCAAACACTTTTTCAATGTCAGAGAATCTATACTGGAGATGACCCCTATGGATATAAAGAAAATGGACAGTCTTTTTTCCAGCGCTCTCACCTGTTTATACCTGAGAAAATTTGTAGTTTAGATAAAAGCTATGCATGTAACAAATGTGAGAAATCCTTCAGATATTGCTCTGACCTTACTAGACATGAAAAAACTCACACGTCAGAGAAGTTTTTTGAATGCGAAGAGTGTAGGAAAGCTTTCAAGTATTCCTCAAATCTTCGACGACACATGAGAGTTCATACTGGAGAGAAGCCCTTTGAATGCAATCAATGTGGGAAGACCTTCACAAGGAACTTTAACCTGATTTTGCACCAGAGAAATCATACAGGAGAGAAACCATATGGATGTAAGGATTGTGGGAAAGCTTATAATCAGCCATCATCTCTTAGGAGTCACTTGAGAACGCATACTGGAGAAAAACCCTTTGACTGTGGTCAGTGTGGGAAAGCCTTCAGGGAGCACTCCTCTCTAAAGACACATATGCGGACTCACACTAGAGAGAAGCCTTATGAATGCAACCAGTGTGGGAAACCCTTTCGGACAAGCACTCATCTCAATGTTCACAAGAGGATACACACTGGGGAGAAACTTTATGAATGTGGTACTTGTGGTCAGGTTCTGAGTCGTCTCTCAACTCTTAAGAGTCACATGCGTACTCACACAGGAGAGAAGCCCTATGCATGCCAGGAATGTAGGCGAGCCTTTAGTGAACTCTCATCCCTTAGGAAACACATGAGAACTCACACTGGCAAGAAACCCTACACCTGCCAGGAATGTGGGCGGGCCTTTGGCCAGTCTTCACACCTTACTGTACATGTGAGAACCCATACCTCAGGGAAACCGTATGCATGTAATCAGTGTGAGAAAGCTTTTCGGCATAATTCTTCACTTACTGTGCACAAAAGGACTCACAATGGGAGAGAAAACAGGAGGAATATTGACTTGCCTTTATCAGTGTCACATCCATATGGTGGACCCTTTGCTAATTAAGTTCTAGTTTAAAAAATGTAAATATTTAGGCTATAAATATCCTTAAATTATTTTAGCTACATCATGTTTTGGTACATTTATATATTATTTTAATTCTAAATGTCTTTATTTCCATGGTTACTTGTTCTTTGACTCATGAAGTGTTTGGAATTAAAATTTTGAATGATATATATATATGTCTATATTTTACCCTCTCCTTCCACCCTCCCTCCCTATCTTTTCCCTTACCCCCCACCTTGTTGTAGTGTTCAAAGTCTGCTTCTTTTGGTGTAAAAATGATTTTTTCTTAGCTTTAAAAAAAAAATAACCCTGGTGCCATGCAGTATTTGTCTTTATGAGATTGACTAACTTTACTGAGCATAATGTCTCCCAAATTCCTCCATACCATGACATTTTTGATAGTTATATTATTTTTTAGAGGTGTATAATATTTCATCATAAATATGTATCAGACTGTTCCCCTACAGTCTGGCTTGTTGGTTGTTTCTATCTATTAGTTATTGAAGATAACACTGCAATAAACATGGTGTACATACATCTGTTTGTATTTTTGTTTTTGGCATATACTGAGTGGAAATTGCAAGGTCATGTAGCATTTCTATTTGAATTAAGTTAAGGGAGTGCTTTATTCTTTTCTATAATGGCTGTACAGTTCTGTAATCCCACCAACAATGTATAAATGTTCCAATATCTCATATCTTCTCCAGCATTTTATTTTCTGTTTTAAAAAAAATTGCCATTGGAGCTATGTAAAGTGGTATCTCATTTTTCTCTTAATATGTATTTCTCTTGTAGCTAATTATTGTGAGCATTTCTTTATGTAATTGTTGGCCACCTGGATGTCATCTTTAGTAAATTGTCTATATCTTCTGCCCATTTTTATTTGATTATTTGGGTTCTTAATAGGTGTTGTAGTTTTCTATAGATTTTTTAGAGTATCTCTTTATCTAGTATGTCATTGCCAAAGATTTTTGCCCCTGTCTGTTGGTTCTCTTTTTACTTTTTTGATGAAGTCTTTTGATGTACATAAATGTTATATTTTTAGGAGGCCATAGTTGTCTATTTTGTCTTCTGTAGTGGGGGCATTTTTCTTTATGTTTAGGGGTGTATTTATGCTTTGTATTAGGGCCTTTAAATTTGTCCCTCTGTTTTCATTGGTCCTTTTAGCCCTAGGGTTTAAAGTCTTTAATCCAACTTGAGTTCATTTTTGTATATGATGTGAGGTATAGGTCCTGTTTCATTCCTTTGCAGTATGTCCAGCACCATTTATTAAAAAGATGATCTCTTCCCTATTTAATGTATTTTAATCCTTTATCAAAGACCAGGTGTCTGTAAGTGCTTGGTTTTATTTCTGGATTTTCTGTTCTGGGTCTACATATCTGTCTTTGTACTAATACCACGCTGTTTTGATTACGTGGCTGTATGATAAGTCTGAAATCAGGGAGTGAGAGGCCCATGGGTATATTTTTATTGTTACACCTAACATACAATGAAATGTAAAACAATAGTGTACTGTGTGTGTGTGTCTTGGGACCGTCAAATCTTAGATATTTGTTGAAATTTCTTTTCTTAGTATGACATATACTACTGGTTGCCTCCCCAATTTCCCCTTCTTTACAAAAATGTATGTGTTTTCTTTTTTGTTGTTGCTCAGGTTGGTAATGTGCAGTATTCAAAATCCTTCCCTTCCCAGCCCTCCTTACCACCAAGAGAAGCCATGTCCCTCAGTGCTCGTCAGTATGAGTATGAGAAACCACTGGCTGTGGCTCCTGGGAATGCTGTAGGACAAGAGTGGTTTTCTATAGCTTGGTCCTTCACATCTTGTCTTTTGTAACAACAGGCACAGTGGCCAGAGTGAGAGGAGCTATTGTGTGACCATGAAAGGATGAAAGCCACAGGTTAATGACAGAGTGGCCCAAAGTCACAGATCCTGATTTCCCAGGATACCATCCCTGAGCTGTTTGAGGGGTTTCACAAAATTTGTGGAATAATGGAATTGAAAGATAATGGCATTTCCACATGAACTTTTTGAAACCCCATTTTACTTCTGGTTGCCTTGTTAATGTGGAAAAGTGAAAACAAAATACTTATTGGTAGATGACAACATTTTGGGGGCCAGGGAGTAGGTGATAACGGCAAGGCTGGGACAGTGTTATTACAGCTACATTCTGTTCCTAATTGATTTACTTAGCATATTGTCGGTTTTTAAAAATGCTTCATGTATGGTTGAAATCAAAGTATGTTTTTTTTCATATATACACTACATCAAGCTTCATGTTTTGAATCTGCAAGTTTATAATACTGGTCTGTTGATGTATCATTCACTGAACAAGGTATATTATACTCTCCTACTGTGATTATGAGTTGTTGAAGAATATTTGTAATTATGTCAGTTTTTGAATTTATATATTTTGGAGCAATGTAATTAAATGGATATCTTCCTTTACATTTTCAGCAAATTGTTACTTTTATTCTTTTTCCTTAGAAATTAATATTCAACTATTCATCATCATCATAAAAATATGTATTTAGAGCTTATTATTAATAGAGAGGATACCTCATGACATAGCGGTTAAAGTGGTCAACTGCTAAGTACAAGGTTGGCGGTTTACATCCACCAACTTTTCTACAGGAGAAAGATATGATACCTTGCTTCTGTGAAGATTTACACTTCATGGGCAGTTTTCCTCTGTCCTGTAGTTTCACTAAGTCAGAATTAATTTAGTGACAGTTTTGTTTCTGACTTATTACTAGATAGTTGGGTTTGAATTGTGGTGTTGGCAAAGAATATTACACATGCTGTGGACTGCCATAAGAATAACAAAATGGTCTTAGAAGACATACAACTAGAATGCACCTTAAAAGTGAGTGTGGTGAGATTTACCTTGTTTATTTTGCACGTCATTAGGGAAGACCCATCACTAGAAAAGGACATTGTGTGCAGTTAAGTGGAGGATCAGCTAAAACAAGGAAAACTCTCAAGATTGAAATGATAGCCACAACAGTGGTCTCAAAACATACCAACTATCATGAAGACGGTACAGGACTGGGCAGTGTTTATGTCAGTGTGAATGAGAGTCACTCAGTGGTAGCTAGCAGCATTAACAGTAGCCCCTGCCCTAAGATTTTAGTCCTCACAGTGTTAGTCCTTGAAGTAGTTGCTGTAGTGCTAGCCTCAATATAGAGATGAAGCTGAGACCTAACAAGTTGAGGTAAGTTTCTCATGGTCACCCAGGTAGTAAATGGTAGGGTCATGAGTTGAAGCTAGCTGGTCTGGCTGCAAGGTCTCTGTTTTCTGCCTCCCCTCCCCCCGCTCCCATTCAGTCTCATTCCCTTGGGCTACTCTCCTTTCTTAACCTCTTCCTCCAAGTTCCCTTTTTTATTTAAAAAAATTGATAGATAATGTAACATAAAAGGACATAAAGGAAATTTTCATTTGCTCCTCATCTTTGTCAACAAGTGGTATAATTAGATAGGGTTTATACATTCATCCTGGTAGCATAATGGGTTATAAATTGAACTCTTGAGCTCAGAGTCAACAGTTCAAAACTACCAGCTGCTCTTTTGGAGAAAGCTGATGTTTTCTACTCCCATGAAGATTTGTGACCTTGGGAACCCACAGGGACAGTTCGACTCCTCTGTAGGGTTGGTATTAGTTGGACTCAACTCAAGGGAGTTTGAGATATCCGTTGAACCACCACCTAGATCAAGATGTAAAATATTGTTTTTATTTTAGGTTTTGACTTTCCCCTCCTTACCCAATAACCCTCTCCCAGAGGTAACCACTGTTTCGACTTCTGTCAAATTACTTCTTGTTTTCATAGAGCTGAAGCCATACAGTATGGCTTCTTGTGCCTCTTTGTCTTTTCCCCCCACTTAATACAGGGTTGAGCGTTATATTTATTCCATCTATTGGTAGTTTATTTATTTATTTATTTATTTTGCTATGCAGTATTTGGTTATCTGAAGATATCACAACTAAAACAGTTTATTCTTAAGTTTATGGACAATTAGGTTCTTAACACGTTTTGCTATTATGGACAAAGCTGCTGTGAACGGTCTCATTATGCACCAAGTACTCATTTCTCTTGTTTATAAACCTAGGAGTAGAATCGCTGCATCTTTGGGTAGGTACATCTTTAGTTTTAGTAGATATTGCTGAACAGTTTTCTGCAATAATCGAAACAATTTATACTTCTATAATCGGTGAAGGAAATTTTCATTTGCTCCTTGAGATAGTTTATTGTGCCAGCCTGGTTGATAAACACAAGTGGGATTGGCTGAAGGGCAGAGGGATAGATGGCTTGGTGAGCCTCGCCTTTCTTGTCTCTCGCTCTTTGATCATGGGACCAGTGTGCGGCTGCCTTGCTTGTTCT